TTTATCATTTGGTATCGTCATGTTTTGCACTTTTCTGGAACGAGCCATACATGTAAATAGGTGATTAATTTCTCCCCATAGACAGCAGTGCGTAACACACCCCAAGAAACATTAGCTAGAGCTTGTCACACTGAATGGATACTTCATTTCTTCCAGGCATATGTCAATCAGCTAGTTCAGTGTCTAAGAGACACAGGATGTACTACTGTAGTAGTGGACAAAAACTGGTTGAATAGAAATACTACACAAAGGACAAAACAACAATCATGCTTGCCAACAACACTAAAACAGAATGTTGCAAAGCCACAATTCAAATTGACTACCCATGGATCACATTAACTGTGAAAGCTGTGGTCATGGAAAATCAAGTTTGTCAACGTATTATTGGTAATGTCAAAAAAGTACCCAATAACTCACAAAAGTTATTCATTAAATGGATTGAATAAAACAATTTGGATTCAATAAATGCCATAACGAGACAACAACATTAAGAAAGTCAGACTAAACCAGATATAGAACAAATATTGGATACATCAAAACAAATATCAAGAGAAGATATAATCAACATGCAATCACAGGATAGGCAATGCCAAGAAATCCAAAATAAAATGAAAGACAAGAACTTTGCTATGTTAGGACATCAGTACATAACAAAACACAATATTTTAATTTATAAATTTGAAACAAGGAGATAGCGAAAAATCACAAAAAAGGAGTACATTTGGAACTCAGGAATAAAATACTTCAATATGCACATGCCAGTCATCTAGCCGAACATAAGGGCATCAAGAAAACTCTGGAGAGAATAACTCAGAATTTCTATTGGCCAGGAATTCACAGAGATGTAGAGAACCATATCCATAAAAGCAAACTTTGCATCACAAAAAATCCTATCCCTAGTAAACACAAGGCACCTATACAGCCTACAGATAACATTGGTAGGAATTTTGAGAAATTTACTATTGATATCATTGGTCCTATAAATCTTCCATCCAACAAGGGGCTTATGATAGATATGTCTTCAAGATGGCCAGAGGATCATTAACTTTAATTAAAGAAAACATTTAAGAAAGCAAATGGAACAACAAGATACATTTGATATTATCACAAAAATAAACGAAAGAATAGTTTATGGAATTGAAGCAGCAAAAGAAAACACACAGAGAGAGGAGCCAGAAGACAAAGACTCATCAAAAACTCAAACAGATATTTGAGAAATCTGAACATTGATGATCAAGTTTTTGTATAGCTACACAATAACAAAGGATAAAAAGTCTGACAAGGTCCGTTTACAACACAAGACGTATTTGAGTGGCCTATGTAATCAAGATAAAAGGAGAATTGAAGGTAATTCATGTAGACTTGACTAGAAATTTCGACACTTTTCCAGAAGACCTGAGTGTCATTTACATCTCTAACAAAGAATATATTGCAACAGTCATACAATTAGAAGAAAGTCAATACAACATAAACATTAATAGACAACTAACCACAATTTTCATTGAATACAAGGATGTTTTCACAGAAAACATAGGCCACACCAACACCGTTGTGCACTAAATTATATTATCAGAGGAGCCTACATTTAAGTTTCGAATGTATCCCATTCCTTATGCAAATAGAGATGATGTTAGGAAAGAATTGAATCATCTTTTAACAACTAACAAGATTAAAAAGATCAAAGTCGCCCTTCGCTTCTCTCATGGTTGTAGTCAAAAAGAAAAACGAACAACTCCAAAGATGTTGCGACTACAGAGAGTTGAATAAAGATAACACAACCAGAGGCTGAACCCAGGAGGGACACGAGAGAATTACCCTCAAAAATCTTCACCCATCTCGACCACAATAGAGGATTTTAGCAGATAGGGATGGAGTAAGATTCCACGCCCTACACTGCATTTTCAACAGAGGAAGGACAGTTTGAATGGACTGTGAGGCCTTTTGGACTGGGCAACTCATTAGCCACATTGTCACGGCTCATGAGGATAATGCTAACAGGAATGCCCTATAGTTTACATTTCGTAGACCACATTGGTGTACATTCAAAATATATGAAAACACATGTAGAAACACTAAAACAAGTATTAGAAAAGTGAGGAAGACATGGTCTAACCATTGAAAAAAATAAATTGAAATTTACTCAGGAACAAATTGATTTTTTTGGGACTTACAGTATTGGTAAGAACACCATCGAACCTACAGAACAAAACGAAGAAAAAATACTGAATATAAATACACCACATAACCAAAAAGACGTTGAAGCCATTTTAGGTCTATGTAACTTCTACAGCACATTTGTACCTAAGTTTTCAAGGATAACATTACCTTTAAGAAAGTTAAAAACAAAAAACAACAAGAAACAAATAGTGTGGACAAATGTTTGTGAGACAGCATTAAGAACAATAAAAAAAATCTTTCAGAGTGAAAATATACTACCATCACCTAGCTTTTATCAACTTTTCCCATTACCAACTGATGCATCAAACAATGTATTAGGAGCGAGCCTTACGCAAGAATTTAACAAAAAAATCAGACCAATTATTTATTTAAGTAAATCATTATGTAAAACTGAAATTAACTATTCTACTGTTGAAAAAGAATGCCTGGCCGTCGCGTGGGCACTAACAAAACTAGAAGAGTACCCATTAGGTAGAACATTTAATCTTTTAACAGATCAAAAACCATTAATGGCATTAAACAAAAAGAGAATATCAAATAACAAGATTAACAGATGGTCGTTGATATTCCTAGATTACCAATATGAGATAAAAACAATAAAAGGCAAAGATAACATTGTTGCTGATTTTCTGTCCAGACTCATTGACAATGACAGAGACACTGAACTGAAACATATCAGTCAAACATTCTGATTTTTTAAAAAAAAAGATCACATTAACTGAACAATAAAATATGAATTATTTGATCTTATGATACGTTCAAATGCATTCTTTAAAGCTGCAAAGACTTAACTATTTTAATATATGTTATTATTCATGAAACATTAATAAAGATTGATGAACATTTTGGGCAAATGATTTGAACAAGTGGATAAAAATTTTAGGAATAATTTTACCATTAATAAAATGTGTTAATATTGATCAATGAATGATATGTCTTATATTGTAACATATGTCGTACATAATTTACTTAAAAGAAATGTTTTCACTAGACAATAAGTTTGATTTTGATAGTATGATAACCAGGATCAATCATTGATGTGTAACATGAACATTAAGTAACTCAAATATTTTATCATAAGTTTATTGAAAATTTTGATAATTTGTACATTAATCTTTAAATTTAATGATTAAAATAAATCGCGTACAAGGGAGATAATAACTTAGAGGTGAATTATCGTTTGAAGTTACAGTTGTCCCATGTACATTTCTTCTAAAGATTTTGTATGGGTAGGGCGTGTAACATACCAAGTTAAATAGGATTTTGTATGGGTAGGGCGTGTAACATACCAAGTTAAATAGGATTGTGTATGGGTAGGGCGTGTAACATACCAAGTTAAATAGGATTTTGTATGGGTAGGGCGTGTAACATACCAAGTTAAATAGGATTTTGTATGGGTAGGGCGTGTAACATACCAAGTTAAATATGATTTTTCACACGAACCTAATAGTAATTCTCACGACACAATGGTGTAGTGATTTCATGAGAATGATGTAAACACGAGAAAAACTGGAACTCGTTTTTAGAGCTGAAGAAGCAGGGCAAGCGCGTGTACGATTTTAATCTTGAAGAGGTGACAGACATATTGCTTATTTCTGGAAAGGATTACTGAATTACTATCAGATGTAGCATTATTGACTGTGTGTGTATGTATACTTGGCAATCATTGAAGATTGTTACAAGGACATCCTTATATCGAGGATTTAATCAACTTATCTATTTTATGTTTTAAAAAAAGCACCGTATAAATTATTAATTGGACGTTATCACTTCTTACGTGAGAGAGAGAGAGAGAGAGAGAGAGAGAGAGAGAGAGAGAGAGAGAGAGAGAGAGAAACAGATACGTGTGAGGAGATAACGATGGAATTAATTAGTTATTCAAATTAATTGGACGTTATCACTTCTTACGTGAGAGAGAGAGAGAGAGAGAGAGAGTGAGAGAGAGAGAGAGAGAGAGAGAGAGAGAGAAACAGATACGTTTGAGGAGCTAACGATGGAATTAATTAGTTATTCAATTAGTGGCGGCAAGCCACCCATTACAGTGAGCTCAAGTATCATTTAACAATGTTGCCACCAAGCATTGTCACATTGGTATCGGAAGCATTGTTACATTGAGGAGAGCTCGAAATAAAAATGGCTGATGCCTTTGCTGCATTGGCAAAAACCGAAAAACTGTTTGAAAACAGATGTCTTAAACCGATAAACTGGTTGACCAAAAAATAAATGGTATTTTATCCTTAGATTTTAACGATTTTGATCGGAAACTAAGTTGTTAGGTAATCACACTAAACGAGACCTTGAGTTGTTATCGAACTGTACCAGACCTTGGTCTGCTACCGAACTGTACAAGGCCTTGGGCTGTTACCGAACTGTACCATACCTTGGGCTGTTATCGAACTTTACCATTCTTTGGGATGTTACCGAACTGTACCAGACCTTGAGCTGCAACAAAACTATAAAATCTTCGGCTGTTACCGAACTGAAAAAGACGTTTAGCTGTTACCACATTGATCCAGACCTTGAGCTGTTACCGAAACGGTGCAGACATTGACCTAATTTTAAAATGAACTAGACGTTGAGGTGTTACAGAACTGAAACAGACTTTTATCTGTTGTCGAGCTGAACCAGATGTCAAAATGTTACTGAACTAAAGCAAACATTGAGCTTTAACCTAGACGAAATTAAAGCAAACTCATTAAAAAATGTAATTCCAATTTCTAGACTGTAGCGATGAAAAATGTTCAAAAAAATATAACAAAATCACAAAATCAAAGAATAGACTGCCATAAAATTAATACTTCTTTAGAGTTGTCTTGTGCGTCTCAACAAGTGCAAAACAACTTTTTATAAGTGTTTACAAATTTTGAGCTCATGGAAACATAAATGATAAAATTGATCACCGTGTCAAATTGGTAAAAAATATGACTGATTTCCATATGAGCTACGTGAAAGTATTTTTGAAGTCCAAATAGCAATGGTGATGTATCTAAAATAAAAGAAACAATGCACACCAAAAAAGAAAAAAAACAGACAACCAGTAACATCTTGGTGGCTCTCAAAATTTTTAGCTTTTTTGACCGAACAGCGGAGGGTGAAAGAATTTTCATTTCTCTTGTGATTATATGCATTTTTATCACGGTCAGAACTGAGGAGACAAGAATGATGAGAAGTGGCACAGTTGATGAGATTGTGTTGCCAAAAAGCAACAAATACACAGCGATTGCATGAATATTTGCGTCACTCAATCCTTTAACCCAGAGTATGTTAAAAGTTGCATTATTTATGTGAACATTCTCCCATATGCCAAGGTAAGTTAAAAAACCTGGCGAAAAAAACAAGAATGTGATGACGTGGAGCAGAACGATTAAAATCATCACACGTCTTGGAGTGAAGACAAGGGACACAAGAAAGGGAAACCACACGGCTGCGAGTCTCTCTACAGCGATGACCGCCGCTAGTAGTTGACTCAGTGAGAAGGATAAGCCGTTCCATATCAGTAGGTACTGACGACAGAGCAAGAATAAGCGGCTCTCAGGATAGTATGCAAGCATGATGTAGGTCAAACGATAGAAGGCTTCGGTCAGTGAACCAATAAAAAAATCGAATGACAACGATGTCAGCAGGATATTGTTTGTATCCTGGAAGCCATGATAAGACAGGATGACAATGTTGAGAATATTTTCGATGATACCGCAGACGGCGAGAAATTCGATGGAGCAGTTGATGATGAAACAAGTCGAAAATGGAACATCTCTACAGAGAGATTGTTCATGGTGTCGACGAATTACAGACATTGGCAATTTTTTTTAGCGCCCTAATGACGATAAGCGATACACTGCTTTTTGCATGAAAGTACTTAGCCATCGACTTGTTCATAATGTAAGGTAATAACAAATCTATCACAAAAAATACCCCAACTTTTTATTCAAATTTTAACAAAGTTTTAATGTGTATGTTTGTATTATGATTTCTTTAACGCTAACAGTGTCCCGTGAAAAAACAACGATGCAAAGTCTTCTACAACTGTATAATTCTCATAAAAACTGAAGGAAAAAAAGCAGGATCTTAGTATTCTTCAATAATGCACAAGCGAATCTAAAATTATTTTTTTTTAAAGAATTCCGAAAAATATTTTTCATGTAAGCAATAGTGGCAATAGACCAACGTGAAATTTATACATTTTTGTGTGGTTTACCCCATTGTTGATTACCATCATAAAATTTCTTGTTGAGTTCTGCTTTGATATAAAATGAGCATGATAAAAATTATGACATTAATAAAGAAGAGTTTAGATTGAAAGCAATGAAATGTATCCACTTTATTGTTCAGCTACTAGTTCCATTAAAATGATGATGTGAAATGTAAGAGTTAGTGACGTAGACATTTGTAAATTGTTTATACATACAATAATCGTGACTTTCAGCATTTAATCTTCAAAATGTTTATATTTACACCAGTTTATATCTTTGTGGTGTAGCGAGTAATGCAATAAAATCTTTATTGTTTTTAAATGTGTATTTTACACAAAATCTCGTGATTTTTAGATTCTCCATATTTGAAATAGGTATATACCACTGTAAGATTACTACATTTCACAAGGTCACTAAAATGTATTTTCTAGCCTTTAATATTATCACGTGAGCTGCACTGTTATACAAGACAATCAATTAGTGTGCATGAGGACAAATGTATAATTGATGTGAGATTAGATTTAAGCCACAACCATGGGCGCGCCTGATTTTTTTTATTCACCCGTACTTGTTTTCTGTACCCACCCCTGTACTTGTGTTCTGTACCCACCCCTGTACTTGTTTTCTGTACCCACCCCTGTACTTATGTTTTGTACCCATCCTTGCACTTGTGTACTTTAACCGCACCTTCAGTTACGTTCCTTACCAGTCCCTGCGCTTGTGTTCTGTTCCCAGCAGGTTATTGCCTTTGTGCAATCCCTTGATGAGCTCGGGGTGAACATAAAATAAGTATAATTAAAAGTATGAAACTAATTAAAAAACAGTTTGATTTAATGGCTTTGCAATGAATGCTATGTTATGTTAACCATGCATGTTAATATTCTTTTTAAAAAAAACAGTAAAAAATATATTTAATTATATTTTAAAAGTACATTTTTCAAGTTTATTTGTGTATACGAATTAAATGTAACCAAAATATATTCGTGCAGTTTTCAAAGATAGATTCGCTCTATTGCACGGTTTAAATTGTAATTTCCAATTATTTAAATTTGTTAGACTCCCCATCCTTTAGAGTTGCAGAATTCAACAGTTTTTTTAATAGAAATTTAAAATTACCAATTATTTTTTGATTTACCATTGCCCACTATTTAGACATGTATACTTTCTAAATACTTAGAGATGTGTAATTTCTTACTAATTACTTACATACTTACTTCTGCATTTTACCTATTTCTTTGTCATTTCATACACTGAAGATTAGCTTTTTCTTCATTTGTCATCAGTAACCAGATGTATGAAGCATCTAATCATTCTCACAAAGTGAACTGCTCGCGGCTCTCATCGTTCTATGATATGATCTTTTACCAACAAAAGACTTCATTGGTGCGCCTTACACCATGCTCGCATACTGTCCAGAGAGACGCTTTTTTCTGGTTACATAGTCAAATAGTTGATATACTGAAATACTGGGTGCTAAAGTGCCCCTTTTGAGTTCAGTGCAAACGTATGAGTTAAAGTGCCCCTTGTGAGTTACACTGACAATTTTAGAGCTACAGTGCCTCTTGAGAATTACAGCGACAACATGGGGTTACACAAAACATCTAAGAGTTACAGCGCTCTTTGTGAGTTATAGCGCAAAATTGGATGTTACAGAGCCAATTTTTGACTTACAGCTCCAACTTGGAAGTTACAGGGTTTCTTGTGAGTTACAGTATCCATTTGGGAGTTACAGTGTTCATTCTGAGTTAAGCAAAAATCCCGAGTTACAGCGCCAAATTTAGAATTACAGTGCCACTTTCGAGTTATAGTGTGCTCTGTGAGTTACAGAGCCCCTTGCGTGTTATAGCGACTACTTGGGAATTTAAGCACCAACTTGGGAATTACAATGCTCCTTGTGAGTTATAGCGACAATTTGTGAGTTACAGTGCCCCGTGTGAGTTTCAATGAAAACGTTTGATTTATAGTGGCCCATGGGAGGTGTAAATGCCCCTTGTGAGTTATAATGGCAACTTAATTTCCAAGTGCCTTTGATAGTTACAGTGCGCCTTTTGTTTTAAGGCGTAAATTTGGGAGCTAGAGTGCTCCTTTCAAGTTATAACAGCAACTTGTGAGTTACTGTGCCCCTTGTGAGTTACTGTGCCCCTTGTAGGTTACAGTATAACGTTGGATCTACTGCACCCCTTGTGAGTTACAGTTGAAATGTGGGTTTTACAGTGGCCTCTTGGATGTTACAGCGCCATCTATGTGTGTTACAGAGCTAACGTGTGAAATACAGATACAACTGGGGTGTTATAGTGCCATCTATGTGTGTTACAGAGCTAACTTGTGAATTACAGATCTAACTGGGGTGTTATAGCGCCATCTTGTGTGGTATAGAGCCAACTTGTGAATTACAGCGCCAATTCATGAGTTATAAAGTCAACTTGAGAGTTATAGCGCAAACTTATGAGTTACAGTGCCCCTGATGAGTTACAGAGCCAACTTGGGAGTTACGGTGCCCATTGTCTCTTTCAGAAATTTCCCCCCTGGGAGGCACTTCAGCTTTTCAGGGGAACAGTACCAGTTGCCAGTGGCGTAGCTAAGGGGTGGCAGATTGGATATACGTCCCAGCGCCAGACTAGCGGGGGGGCCAACATTTGGCTTTGATGGTATTGTTTGAAAATAATGGGTTTCAGAGGAGGAGGGGGGTGTAAAAGTGAGTCTTGTACCCTGACGCCAAACACTATAGAAATGACTCTGATAGTGGCGCCAAAATAGTGCGGTTGGCGTGGTCCATCCAGTTGTCATCTTTTTTCTTTATATGCTGGTACGGCAAATTTTGGACAACTGTAAAGTTTTTATAGTTAAAAGGAGGACGGCAAAAATATTTGGCTGCTCATGGTAGCACTAATAGTAATGTTTGATTTTTTCAAAGTCAAAAGGTTTAATTTTGAGAATACTTGAATTCATTGTGTTTTATTTTACCTTTTGAACAGAGAAGAACATTTTTAAGGTAATATTTAGGCACCAGCTTATACTCAACCCCATACTGTACCATTGATCAGTGTTAGGGAAGGGATGCATCATTTGGGGTGCTAAAGACAGTTGTAAAAACACAAAATGCAGGAGTGCTTTATTTTGGCACATACTTGAATTTGTTGTGGTGGCATTTCAAACTTTCGGGTGGGAAGCGCCAAAATTAGCCATAATAATGACCAAAAAAAAACCAAGTTCCCTATAGTAATGTTACCCTTAAGGGTACGCTTTAGCCCTAGATTATTATCAAGTTATTGATAAATTAAAAATACAAGAATGCATTTTATTACATATCTGAATTTAGTTTTGCAACACTCTACACTATTGATTGGATAACATCGGAAGATATCCTAGTTAAAATATATAGGATGTCACTTAACCTTAGAGCCATCGTCTGCGCCTAGGAACCCTAACGACAGCAGGGTACCTCCTAGATGTATTGTGGCCTGTGTTGTTTATGGTTGCAAGCGATGAAAGACTTGGGTATTCTCGTGTGTAGTTTTTGTAATGTTGCGTTTTGTATTTCAATGTGGTAAAATATAGATTTTTTCATTTCTCTTTTAAAATGGTTGACTTTGCACCGCGCTTTAAGCCATTGGGGATGAAGCGTGACTTTCAAATAAGCTTTATTATTATTATCATTATATTTTTGGGGCTTAAAGATGTAATAAGGATATTTTCTTAATTATCTTTCCATGCAGGGTTGGCAAAACGCAAATTATTTTACCTGCTCGTGTTATGTCAAAAAAAAAAAAATAATAATAATTATATAACTAAAAATGGTGATTTTGCTTTCATTTTGAATTTATATTATTTTTAGAGATAGCTACTTAATTAATAAATGAATTTAAAAAAAAACAACTAAATTCAATTAAAAAGGGTTCCATCACTAAAAAGCTTCGTAAATATCTTTTTATAAGCTGAACGCAAATGGAAAAAAACAAAACAAATTTACATATCATTATAATGCTTAGACTAAATTGTATAAATATTTCCTAATTTTAACAGAGTCAAAAAGAAAAAAAAACAGGTAAATTTGAAAGGTCCAAACATTTTTATGGGTTTTGAAAACTGATCATTTTGATCTATTTTATATGAACGGCATAACTATTTTAAGAAAACATGAGTTGTTTACAAAAGACATTATATTTAGTCTACATCTACATGTCCCCTTAGTCCTTGGACCGTTTGGGCCCAATAGATGACATGACAAATATCTTCCTTCATTCCTCTCTGCATTTCGCACAGCATCTCCCAGTTTTAGTCCGCTCTACTCTTTGATGTTATCTTCCCTTCTTTTTCTCCGTCTTCCTTCTCTTCTCCCTCCTCTCGTTGTGCCCTGCATGATTTCTGTGGCGCACCCTTGTTTTCTTGTCACGTGACCTTACCATTCCAGTTTGCGTTTTTCTACAGTTCCCATGAGGTCCATGTGCTTCACGAATTTTTTCCTTGGCTAATATTTATTAATGTGTGATTTTATTTAATAGAAATTTTGT